GCAATATGCTGACTCTGTAAACCGCTTAGAGAGGGCTGAAAGCCCTATGAAGCGGTATATAAGTCTAACTGCTATTGCTATTGCTATTGCTAGTAGGACTGCTTTGACAAGGAACACGTTGGCAAAATGTTGTCTAGCATAGCAGCTATTTCCTTTCCTAAGCTGATGAGATTCAAGAATGGTTCTCCACCATGTCTTACGATAGATCCCTCTTGACTCTGTATGAGGCTAGCCTTGATAAGCATCTGAAAGATGCAGCTGATTGATATAGGGGACAGGGACCATACTGACAGATTGCTGCCCAATATCTAGGGGTGAAAGGGTGGGCTGGCATCTACAAAAATGAAATATGAAATGAATGAATGGTCCTCTACTGAAACAATTGAAGTAGTTGCCAACTGCTTACAAGGCACAACCCTGAACATTGGAAATAACCTTTAAAGTCCTAAGTAGCTTAGGGCCTGACTATAAGCGACCCCATGTCTCCTTATAAATCTTCCAATTGTTAAAATCAGGAGCAGAGGCCTTTGCAGAATACAAAAAAGCTCTAGCAAATGAAGTTCAATCAAAACAGCAAAACCTCTTCTTCACACCTACTTGTCACAATGCAAAAGAAAAGGAAACAACTGTACATTGCCACATCACATTTCAAATTACCCCATCCAATAATCACTCATATTTTAAAGATGCCCCCAATTGTCAGAAGCCTGTTTCTGGCATGTGCAAGAAAGCTTACTTCTGATTTGCTATGATATTTGTCTCTCATCACTGAGAAAATGTGAAAAGGGCATCTCTTTCACCAGTCCTGTTCTGAGATACGGTATTCAGCTTCTTCTAGATCCTTTTCCCTAAAGAGAGACCAGGAGTGTTGATAGATTTGGATCTTCTAAGCCGGGGTGTCAAACTCAAGGCCCAGGGGCTGGATCCAGCCCATTGGGTGTTTAGATCTGGCCTGCAGGACTGCCCTGGAAACAGCAAAGGACCAGCCTGCAGTGCCTCTGCCAGTGAAAACGGAGCTCACAAGCTCCGTTTTCATTGGCAGAGGGTTGCAGGAGGCTGTACCGTTTTTTACTGGCAGAATGCTCGGGCCTGCATAGGCAACCCCAACACGAGTGACGTCCAGCTGGCCATGCTATTTTATTAAAGAGAAGGATATTTGTAAAATAAAGATATTAATCTGCATGTCAAAGGCTACCTGGCCCTTGCAATGCAACAGTATTTCAGAGGAAGGAAAGAAGATTCCTTCCTTCACAAAATTTAAGGCTTCCGTGCAGCCATCTCCAAATAATAAGACCATCGACAAGGCACAAGGGATTTAATACAATTGTCAACCTTTCAGTTCTCTTGGGTTTATGTGAAACCAGCAAAAACAGAACACAAGAGGGAAGGAAGGTGAGAAAGAAAGAAGTCTTGTTAACTTCACTGAAAATTCCAGAATGCTGCACTCTTATTAAGGTTGGTCACAGAGTGAGCCAGAGGTTTAGACTGGATTTGGCATTTTTATCCACCCATAGAGTCGTTCTCAAGGACCTGAGATAGGCACATGTTATTATTATTATTCCAAATTTTGAAATCTAACAGAAGAAACCCAATTTCTGTAGATTTCTAAGATCAGCTATTATTCATATTCTATACTATGAAAAAGATATGGATTATTCAGTGATTCAACCGATGGTTTAATGACATTGCATGCTTTGTCAATTACTTTTGTTTGCAACTAAATGGGAGAAGTGTGTCCTTCTTGTGCCTATTAGACTCTTCAGTGTTATTCAGTACCATGGAACATACTATTCTTCTATACTACTTGCAGGAACTGGGGACATTATTTTATGGTGGTTCTGCTCCCACTTCATTGGGCATTTTCAGAAGTCAGGGCCTGCACTCAAGCTCCAGGAACTCCAATAAAGGTTCTTCAGGACTCCATTTTCTTTAACATCTCCTGGTGGGGTGTAAATGAAAGAGGAGGTGAATCAGCATTTGGGGGGGTTGAGGTGTCATCAGTATAGCATTTTGGGGGGTTGAGGTGTCACCCTAGCCCAAGCCCTAAAGGTCTTGAACTAGATCCTGGAGACTGTTAGGAGGATCTGGATGGGGGTTTCACCTAGACCCATGATGGCGAACCTATGGCACATTTGCCAGAGGTGGCACACAGAGCCTTCTCTGTGGGCAAACACCATCACCAGCTGTTCTTCCGCGTTCTATCGCATATGTGCGCAAAGACCAATTGGTCTGGTGTGCATGTGTACATAGCCAGCTGCTCTCTTCCAGGTTCCGTCATATGCATGCATGCCAGCCAGCTGGTCTTTGTGCATGTGCTCAATGGAACCTGGAAGAGAGCAGGTGGCTGTGCATGGTGGAACCAGGAAATGCAGCTGGCCACCGTGCGCAAGCGCACTGGCCAGCTGCTCTTCCGGGTTCTGGTGCTCCGGCACGCTCCAGTTTCGGCACTCAGTGCTGAAAAGGTTAACCACCACTGACCTAGACTCTTCACTTCTGTTTACATAGTGAATAACTGTGGGCCAGAGTAATCTTTGCTCAGCTCCATCTGGACAAGCCTATTGTGACTTTACTTGAGCCAAGGTGCCTGGTAATGGTAATCCATGCCTTGTTCGCCACATGATGGCAGGATAATTATAACAGTCCATACAATAGAGACATGCTCTACATTTTCTACATTAGTTATAGCTGGTTACAGCTAGTACAAATACAGCAGCTGAACTCCTGATGGGAAGTCACTACACAGGTTGCCAGAAGGGTTTCAAGCTCACTTCAAAATGCTTAATTAGAATTGAACCTGCCTAGAGTGAATCTGATGTAGATCCCCTTCTCCAGAGGTACGTGGGCACAGACCAGGAACCGCCTTCCACCCAAAGAATGGATGCCCCCCAAACCTGCTGGCATTTAGTAAACAGGCTAAAATACTTTAATTGCAGCATGCACTGAGCCAGTTGATTAGATTAGTCTAAGGGCAACTATGATGGTTATTATTGATTTTGAATGATATTATTTTAACAGCTTTTATTTTTTTTTAGCAACAGAGCTTTCATTTTTGTGTTTTTCTTTTGCTCTTGATTTTGTTGCACCCCATCCAGACTCTATTAGGATTAGGATGGATTATACATATTGATAAAACAATAAATAAGCACTGATCTCAGAACTTCACACAACAAGTACACAGATGACATAACAAACGAAACCCACTAAAAGTGGAAGGGAAAAAAGAGACAGCATCTACGTCTGATGAAAGGCAGTAGCTCATTTTAGGACAATGAGGGGGGAGGGAATCCTACAGTAAAGCTTAACAGATACTAAAGATTCTTGAAAACTGTTTTGGGTTCAATATAATCAAATAAACTCCAGAATCAATCTCCACAAAACAAAGGGATGTGCTTTGCAATGAAAGGCATAATAAATAGGATCCTACAGTTAAACCAATTTCATTTCCCTTAAATAACTGTAAACACACCTACCAGATATCGACCCAAGGAGCAAACATTATAGCTCCTAGCAGCATTTTCTCTCCCCCAAATGAAACCCTGCATAGTTATATAGTAACATTGATAGTTTTTGAAAATGTTTTAGACAAAAGAACTAAAAACAAAATACAGGTAGTCTCCGACTTACGACCACAATTGAGCCCAAAACTTCTGTTACTAAGTGAGACATTTGTTAAGTGGATTTTGCCCATTTTACGACCTTTCTTGCCACGTGTGTTAATGGACTCAGTTGCAGCCATTAAGTTAGTAACACAGCTATTAGTTGAATCTGGCTTCCCCGTTGAATTTGCTTGTCGGAAGGTCGCAAAAGCTGATCGCATGACTGCAGGACACTGCAACCGTCATAAACTTGAGTCAGTTGCCAAGCATCTGAATTTTGGTCACAAGACCATGGGGATGCTGCAACAATCATAAGTGCAAAAAAGGGTCATAAGCCACTTTTTTCAATGTCATTGTGTAACTTTGAAGGGTCACTAAACGAAGTGTAGCAAGTCGAGAACTACCTGTATTTTACATATAAACTCTTATACTATACCCCGCTATATAGTAGATGTTTGCAATATGCATCTAGCCAAACCTGATTGTCCAGGTGATTGGCCCCGAACAAAAAACTTGCTATGATTATAATCAATAGGTGTTGCATGGAAAGACATTCGTGGACTGGAATGCTATCAGTGGGAAGATGCAGTCTATTGCAAGATCTTACTAAGAGGCTCCTTGTGTAAGTGGAAAGGCAGGGCATAAATCCAAGGCAGAAATAAATGACTGCAATCATACATCTCAATGAAAGAAAGTAAAAGTTGGCAACTGCTCTTGGGTAAAGACTGTCTGCTTCTGCGTTCTGGTGGCCAACGAGAATCAAGTCTGCTTCAATATGCCCAACCAATTCTTCACCCTCATATAACTTGATCTTGCAATATTTTTGGTATAATTATTATATTCTAGTCTGAATAATTACAGCAGCAGAATCGATACAAAGAAACAAACCAAGGAGGATGCATTTTCTCCTTCAAAAATGCAAGGCTATCAAAATACATTTAAAAATTAAAAAAATACATTTGATCAGAGAGGACCGCTAAATGATTGATTTCAATGCAAAAACAAACGTTACTTTTTTCTTTTGCGAAACATTTCCTCGAGACCACGTCTCCGAAGAACCTGTTTTACCATCTGTGCAAGGGGTCAACTGGCACACCCACAGTGGAAAGACGTTACTGTTGCTCACTGCGCTGATTTCACCGCAACGTACCCTGGGGGGGGACAGGAAGTCCACTGAGGAGGAGGTTAGAACATCCAAATGAGATTTTCTTGACCCTTAGCTTCCCTACATCATTCTGGGAAGTTCTGCGTATTTATTTTTTTAACCTGAATCCTTGTTCCCACCCGCATTACCTTCCTTGTCATCTTTTCAATTCCACAGTGACCGTTATTAAAACCGGTTTGCCTAGGATCCACGGGGACTCTCTCCTACGATGGAAAAAAGATGAAATGGTCCAAGGAACAGATGAAGATAGTGTTGCGCGTAACAGTCTCTTCCTAACCAACAAGGGGCTCTTTGAAACCTGAGTCAGTTTGCCTGAGTCCCAAGAAGTACTGATGCTTCTGACACAAAATGGCGCAGGGTATTTTAGATACGTCATTTGCACGGTTCATGATCTGTGCAGTCATCCATATCCACGTCAGAATCAAAGAGGGAGTGCCCTGTGTAATCAGTATCAGGCGTTCGGGAAAAACTGTTTTCAGGTCCTTCGTCATCAAATGTTTCTGTCCTTGAATAAAAGCTGAAGTCCAGCAGTGGGTGGCTTTTGCTTGCTTCACTGCTCTCTTCTGATTCGTACAGCGTGTTGTCTTCATCGTGATGCCACTCTGGCCAGAATTTCCTTCTTATCCGCTCACAGTACATAGCTAGGTTAATCAATTCTCCTGGAAAAACACCAAGAGGGGACAGAGAATATAGTTACCACACTGTGAATCTTCAAACTAGAATACAGGTAGTACTCAACCTACAAGGGTTCGCTTAGTGGCCATTTGACGTTACAATGGCACTGAAAAAGTGACTTATGGCAATTTTTTACACTTTTGACTGTGGCAGCATCCCCACAGCCGTGTGATTTACATTTGGATCAGAGGTGGGTTCCTACAAGTTCGCACCTATTCGGTAGAACCGGTTCATCGAATCTACCGAACCGGTTACAAGGGGTTCCACCAGTGGACCCATAAAGCAGGCCACACCTACAGAAGAGGTTCTAAAAAATTTTTGAAACCCACCACTGATTTGGATGCTTGACAACTGGTTCATATTTATGACAATTACAGTGTCAGGTGGGATCGGGTGATCCCCTTTGGCAACCTTCTGCAAAGTCAAATGGGGAAGGCAGATTAACTGAACAACTGTGTTACAACTGCAGTGATTCACTTAACAAAATGTGGTAAGAAAAGCCGTAAAATGGGGCAAAACTCCCTTAACGGATTTCTCACTTAGCAACGTAGGTTTGGGGCTCAATTGTGATCGTATGTTCAAGACTACCTGTATTTACATTCTCAAAAAAGAGTAAGAGAATACGTTAGTAATATATTTGAACCGCCAGATGGCAGCATTGTTTAAAAATTCCATCACACAAACACACACACACACACACACACACACACACAGACAGAGACAGAGAGATCCTCCATTGTCCATTCTTCTACAGAATGTCTAAGAATATGAGAGAAGGGCATGGAAAGAAAACAGGAAAAGAAAAGAATAGCTACAGAAATTTCTCTCAAAACAGCAGGATACATTACATATGAACATTGTTTTATGCATTGTCTTCACAGTATGAACTGTCTTATTGTTATGAGCCCAAAATTACAGCTTTAGTTTTATGCATAATGATTTGGTTTGCTCAGAGGGGAAAAGGTAGCATGAGCATCTATGGTGGAGGGCCATGGGGAACGAGTACTTCCCTCCCACTCCTACTAAGCCATAAATCCCAAATGTCCCTCTTTTCATTTTTAAAAAGAGCTAGCCTGTAGAAATATAAAAGAAAACATATAATCAATCTTCTGATGGTTTTGGAAGCTTTTCAATGTCTTTAGCTCCTGAGTGAAGAGTCCTAGCAATGATTCACACAGAACCAGTCTAAAGAAGGGTTTTAATCTTCCTGCTGGGAAGAAATTGCTTTTTCCTGCAAAACAATTCAGAGATCCACAGCGTGGTGTTGCTGTGATAACTCAGTAGTGTGTTTAGCCAAGTCAAAGAAAGAAGAGTTCATCTTTTTAGCTTGAACTTTTTTTTAAAAAGGCCAATGTTTTTTTTCTGAATTTTTAAACATGCATAGGGTTCTATTCCAATACCTGTGGAGAAAAATCTATCAGTGTAATATTCTTGTTGCAAAAAGCAGGATGGTGAGTGAAAGATTATGATAGTCCTGCAAGCTAATCCAATTAGGTAAAGATCATCTTCAAGTGGAGGGTGGGGAATGGAGTATGAAGACTCTGTATAATCCTCTAGTGCTTGTAATTTAGCCTCCTGATATCCTGGGGCTTTGGGGGTGGGGGGATACTATGAGGTTTACTTATTTATTTATGCATTTGTTTTCTAATTAGTAACAAGAAGAAGCAAAAGAACAAAACATAAAAATGATAGTGATACATCCATTATTAAAAAGAAGGGGAGAGAGGAGAACAACACAAAAAGTGCTCTATCAAAAAGTGAAAAATATACAACAAAAATCCCCATAATATATGTCAGGGGTCAGCAACCCGTGGCTCTGGAGCCGCATGTGGCTCTTTCATCCCTCTGCTGCATCTCCCTGTCACCGGTCGCCTCCACAATTGATAGAGCTTTCAGTTAGGACAGGTAGAGGAAAAAGGATGCCGTGCTAGGAGGAGACCCCTATGGTGAGGGAACTGGACTTCCGGTTGGCTCCAGAATTGAATGGGGGGCTTCCATTTAGGACCTTTGTGGGTCTTTGAGTGTTTACGGTTGCCAACCCCTGGTATATAAACAATTGCAATTCTATATAATGTATTTTTCGGACTATAAGACACACCGGAGTATAAGATGCATCATGATTTTGAAGAGGTATTTTTTAAAAAAAGGTTTTTGCACTCTGCAGGCCTCCCAAACCCTCTGCAAACAAAAAAAGGGCATGCGGAGCTTTCGGAGGCTTGTAGTGTGCTCCTGGGGTGGGGGGGCAAAAACAAGCTAAAATGGCCCGTTTTTGGCTCATTTTTGCCCTTCCTAGCACCCAGGAGCACTTTGCAAGCTTCCCAAAGCCTCTGCACCGGTGGTGGGTTGCAGGCAGTATGCCCAGGTACGGCCATACCAGTGCCTGCCCGGAGCACTGGGTACCGTTCCGGTATGGTGCTCCGGAGGGCCCATCTGCCCACCCGAGCTCCTTACCTGTATTTCAGCTCTTTGGCGCTTCCGCGCATGCACACAGAGCGCATGGTGCCTGCGTGACGCTCCACCAAGCAGCTAGAGTGTTGCGGAGGCACCGCAAGGGGTAAGCATGCATGTGTGTGCTGCACGTGTGTGTGTTCACCCTGTGTGTGTTCATGTGGTGCATACCGGTTGCAATGGGATCTGGAACCCACCACTGCTCTGCATGTCCATTTTTGCAAAGGGAGTGGGGTTTCGGTAGGCCAAAAATGCTGTATTCAGTGTATAGGATGCATTCATATTTTCACCCTCTTTTTGTGGGGGGAAGGTGCGTCTTATACTCTAAAAATACAGTACACTTGTCTAATGCAAATATTGTTCAAGGATATGTATCTTTCTAATACATTTATTTTTTCTCTTATACTATATTTTGTATAAATGACTTCCATATTTCATTATACGTGCCCATACAAAGTCTTACATTTTTGTATAGAAATATGGGCGTCATTTATACAATGAAGTTGACTAGAATAGTAATGGGGGGTGGGGGTATTGTTATGAGCAGAATTAACAAGGCATTAAATTTTCTTTTCTCTCACCTCCTGAGTGAGGATTTTCCACCTCTTTGGTGCTAAGGTGAATTTAGCTCATAAATTAATTTCTTTTCCTACAACTAGCTGTCCTTAGATGATTTGAAGTTTTGCTAAGTGTTTGGATGGGAGACCATTGGAAAATTCCAGAGTCAGGCCTACACTGGGAAGTGGTGACAAAATCCCAAGAGAAAGCCAAAGGATCGCTCTTCCATGTTGTTGTTTTGGGGTCACCACAATTAGAGCTCAGCCTGAGGAACTTTTTTCTAGGTAGGACACAACTTTCTGAGGAAACATCTAATCTTTACAAGAGAACAGAACTTAATGATAGGCAGCAAGCCATATCAAGTGCTATTAGGTGAAAGAAACTAAAAAAAAGGCTTTTTTTCATGTATAACATGTATTCATGTTATAGTTCTCTTTCTCTTCACAATGGCATAAAGTAACCATTTGCCTCACCTGTATTAGGTATTATAATTGTTTTCCTTTATCCAGACCAAGACTGGTATTATGTTGTGTTTGGACTTGGATAGCTTTCTCATTGAAGTTTTTAGCTGCAAAATGTCTAGATGCCAGATTTTCCAGTGAAAAAGAGGAGAGGACCTAATATACCAATGTCCCAAGATCAGACTTATTTATCTTAGTAGACTTATTACTCAGCCTCTTAGGTCACAGGAACCACTATAAATAATTGCAGTTCTTTAATCATATCAGGTTTCTTTTTCCATTCTTTATAAAAGGCCCTTTCGAAGATAAACAACTATACTCAGTTGCAGATATCTTACATAAAGGTTCTGGATCTTATCCAAAAACTTCATGGAAGTCTGACACCAGGCCAGTTGGTTTCCACACAATGGGGCGTATTATTTATGACTTGCATGTTCTTATTCTAGAACATAGGACTTTTAATGACAAATTATTCAATTTAATTCAATTCAATTCAAATAGAATTGTAATATTTATGAACAAAGGTGATGCTGAAGTCTTGTTGCTAAAAATAAACAGCACACATATAAAAAGAAAATGAACATATAAGTCACAAACATATTCAACTTTTGGGGGAATAGGGTAAGGGGGTATGCCTGTGATGTAGAGTCTTAAAGAGTTGTTACATTTGCCCATAATACTGTAAGACTCAGTTTCACTTTAGAGAAATAGTAGCATACATTTAATGTGCAGCCTATGCACCATCTATTGCAAACAGTTGTTGCTAGGATTATCAAAGGCAGCTGTCAAGTTTTAATAGAAAAAAATGAGGTATATGCTTTCAGAATAAATGAATGAAATACAACATCGGAACTATATCAAAAGCAGAGATGGTGCTGGTTCTTTATATTATGTCACACTTCCTTGAACACATACTTGTCCTTGTGCAACACTCAATCCCATTAACCAGTAAATTCATGGCCCTTGGGACAGGTTAATGAGAAGCCTTGCCATATTGCTTCCTGTGCATTATTTGTGAGGATCACCCTAACATTTTTTAAATAAATTCACTTTATACAACACTGTTGCCTTTAGATTTGTTGAGTTATAAGTCCCAGGAAACTCGATTAGCATTGATCAGATAAACTGGGACTTGTGGAGCGTGGATTCCAATATCAATCTGAACAAAGTGGTCTAAATTATCTACGGCCCTCTGGAAGGCTGTTAAAGCAAAAGCTTGGAGATAGCAGGAAATTCCAATGGGATTTATTTGCAACTAACACTATTTGATTGCTTATTTAGCATCCTATGACTATCACTAAGGGTTGTATCTTATTATTATTCCTGAATGTTTTTTTATGTACACTGAGAGCATATGCACCAAAGACACATTCCTTGTGTGTCCAATCACACTTGGCCAATAAAGAATTCTGATCTATTCTATATCATCCATTCCACAGCTCATAACCTATGCATCCTTTTACTGTATTAGTAGATGTTACTCTCACATGAGGAGTTCTGGATTCATATTTTCTTAACCATCAAAGCACTATGCTAGCTAAAGCAATCAGAATATACTCTAAAATAATCTAATTAAAGTTATGGCAGAAATGTCCTTCCTCCTTATTCACACATTTTTGGTTAGTGCATGACTAAGGCTTGAAGGTGACCCATAACAGGAGCTGGTGTTGTTGTTTTTCCTTATCACCATCCTATGTTCTTGCTGGATTTAAAGCATTCATACCTTTAATGAGTCGCTCCGGTCTAGTTCCAGGCAACGTCCACATTGCTTGAGCCAGATGACCAAACACCGTAGCATCTAAAGTAGAAAGCCTAGGTCCCATGATGTACTTTTTATCGCCTAGAAAAATAAACATGTCAAAAAACATTTAAGCGGGTTGTGATATTTTATTTTGCTTGTCTTTCTTAATGCATGCCCTATGTTTCGGTCTCATATTGCTTCATGCTTGCTAATGCCTTCAAAAAAGTAAACGTAGCAGTCACCACATGACAGCTTGCACTGATACATACACTTACTCTGTAAAATGGAACTAGTTGTTGTGATCTCTAGTCCTTCATGGATGTTTCACTAATTGACCTTTTTTTAATGGAACTTTCAGTATGTTTGGTTATATCTGAAGTCTGTTGCTCTTAAAATTTTTACAGATTTGTGTTGACACAGTTTTTTTCACAGCCAAATAAAAACACACATATACACACACTTTGTTGCATATGCATTGTGGCATTTGATAAGATTTGTGTAGGAGATGACCAGGCTGAACCCGAGAGAGGGGTCAAACGCGTCATCAGTCTCAATTCCCTTCACGCCCATAAGAGATCTAAGCTGAGCCCCCCTTGAATTCCTTTGACTTATCTACTGCCAATTTCCTTTGACAGTTAGTAGTTCATATTCTTGTACAAAGCATGGGCTTGCAATAAACGTTTATGTTTATTTTAAACTGTCTGGACTTCCTGGTTTTCCTCTGCTTGACAATTTGTTTCCCCAATGCAGTTGACTCCTAGTTATGGCAAAAATCATAAATTTCAAACAATTTTTTTAGCCAGTAAGCAGCCATTTTTCCAGGTGGCTAGGCAAAATGCAGATGATGATGCCCAATCCCAGGAATGTACCATTGCTCCAATGTCTCAACAAAGGTAAGAGCTTATGCAGTATGAGATTATATGGCAATTCAATATCTCGCTATGTATTTCCTGCCCAAAGAAATTCCTTGTTCAGTTTTTGCAGTGGAGATGATATCACGACAAGCAAACTCGCTCTATAAATGGGAATAGCAATCCCTCGCCCATTGTTGGAATGGAACGGAATTCAGCAACCTTGCTGATAGAAATGTATCTTCAATGAACAACTCTTGTGACTCAACTCAGCCATGGAGCTTCTCCAGTAGGGCTTCAAGAGGGACGGAACATTTAGGTGACTCAAAAGAGGCTTTTATTTTTAATGAGTTTTAATGAGGGGAGTTTTATAATAACTTAATATACTTTCCGGAAGACAATCTGAATCTTAGAATTCTGATTCAGGCCTCCAGTAACCTCTAATTTGCTGTCTCTTTCATCAGAAAGTTACTTTGCACAGATGTGATTCAGATTTAATAGGCAACACTATATTGGATTGGATTGGATTGGATTGGATTGGGTTGGATTGAATACGTTATTTGGCCAGGTATGATTAGACACATAATAAATTTACCTCTGGTGCAGAAGCTCTCAGTGTACATGCAAAGCAACAGAATAATGATAATCACAATAATAATAATACCAATATGAGGGGATAGTAAAGAAGACAACAAGAAGGATAAATAGTAATACTATTGCCATACTACATGGGTAAATATACATAGACATTAGATAGCACTGTATGAATTAAGTGCTCAGCAGAGTGATGGCACAAGAGGAAAAAACTGCTCCTGTGTTTTGTTTTGTTTTGTTTTGGCTATGCAATGCTCTGTAGCGCTGTCTCAAGGGGAAGAATTGAAATAGTTTATGCCCAGGATATAAGGAGTCTGCAAATATTTTTTTAGCTCTCCTTCTGACCTGTGCAATATACAGGTCTTCTATGGAAGGCAGGCTGGTTGCAATGTTTTTTTTCTGCAGTCTCAATTATCTGTTGGTTGCTGTACCAATCCAGACAGTTATAGAAATACAACTGACAGATGCAAATCTTTCCAAACATTGTACTGTTAAATAGAACGAATGCTTCTTATAATGTCTCATATGAAACCCTAATACTGAAACTGTGCATTAGGGTATTGGTGAACATAGGCCATAATGATAAGCCAGGAGCCTTCACATCCTTTCAAGAAATGAAGAGGTTTCTGGAAAGGAATTTGACAGTTTCTGACTTGGGCCAACTCTTCATTCTAAATTAGAAGTTTCAAGTTTCAATGAATTTGTACATTTCAACTCATTCCATTCCAATGAATTGCAGTACTGTAAGCTACACAAGGAACTGCACAAAGGATACTAATACTGCCAAACAATTTGGGTAGGTACTAAGTCAAACTGATCCTTGCAGAGGATTCATTATTAAAGAAATTATTATTCTTGAAGTCACTTATCAATTCCATGTTAAAATACAGCCTGCTCAGCTCATGGCTTATTAACTCCATTAACTGGCCTGGTTTAACCAAACCAGTATAACAGAGAAATACTGACTTAATAGAAGCTTTAGTTAGAACTGTTCACAGTGGAACAGGAAAAGTTGTACTATAATATACATAGTCCTCAACAAAGAACTTTAATGGAGCCTGCCCATTATGGTCTTATGTCTTAACAGTTGTAAAATGGGTCAGTCATGTGGCCTATTGGTTTCTACAACCTTTTTTGTGGAAACAATAAGTCAAGGATTCTCTGTACTTCATACCAGTTTAACTGAATGGGTTATTAGTCATGCAGGCCCATGTAAATTCAGTAAGTTCACGACAGTCACATGACTAGCTAAAAGTAATAATCTGAAGTTTAACCAAATACCAGAAATTGCAAAGGAAGAAAGATTGTGCCTAGAGAACTTAATGAAATGTACTATTCATTACCCAGAAGATTGGCCAACGAGCGCATATCTTTCTCCATCAGCTTGTATATTTCTTCCTCAGAGAAGCGGCCAATGCCATGTCCGTACATTTCCCGCTTCACAATTCCTTTGGTTATGTGGCAGAGAATCCACTTCAGTAGGTCACTAAAGGGCCCACCAAGAGAAAGCATCTTCTGGGTCTCATGGAGATTGTCCACCCATTGGCAATAGGCTAAGGTCCTAAACATTGAAGACAACCACAACATTGATTTCCAGCAGTGCTATAACTGCAGTAAAGAAACACAGAATATGAGAAGACGGCAGCTTCCCCATCGTTGACCTTATTGTACTAGATAGGAAAGGTACTTCAAAGAAGCACCAACTGGATATGGGGCAACATCAACCTATCTTTGCATCCAGAAACAAACTTTAGCAATCAAGCTCTCATGGCAAATACCAGTTGAGGGAAGAATGGACTACAACATCTTACTGTTGATTGCACTTTCAAAAAGGGAGGGGAAAAACTAGGTGGTTAAATGATTTATGAAATCATTTGCTTTAATAAAATGTGCAACATTTTTTTAAAAGACTGAGGCTTGTCTAAAGGATTTTTATGCAGAAGTAGAAATGGTTCCACCGCCTACTGCAGCTTCCTCCAAACTAATGCCCTATTGATACCTTGGACTTCTCTATAAACCACAGCTAAAAAAGTGAACATTTGCAGAAGTGCAGTCCAAAACAACTGGAAGAGTGCAAGTTGGAGAAGTCATGGTTGTAATTCTCGTGAAAGGACTTTTTATGTCCACTTTACAATGTTTGCCCTTGGTCACTTTTTGGAGCCATCTAGTGCTACTTGCCACCTCATGTTCTCTTTCAACTTTAAGGATTGATGCTCCTATTTCATATATTCCTTTTCCCTTTCTTCCCAATCCCTTTTTTTCATTTTCAAAAATCATATTGTTTAGATTTCTGGCTTGTAAACATTAAGTATCTCGTGTTTATTACAGTTTGTGAGCCATTCTAGGTGATTATTGGTGGAAGAGCAGGGTGAAGCTGCTTGATGTAAAATAAACACTCTAGCTATGGAAAACTGATGAAAGTACAACCTCTATTGTAAAAGTGAGTTGGTCCCTTTTTGCACTTCCAATATCAGCAACTGCAAATGAATGATGAAGGAAAAGTTGTGAAGCAAAGGAATTGTCATGCAGATTGATAATAACAGATGGGACAAATATTTGAGGGTGAAAATTATGTTGCATGGGATTGTTAATTCTCCTTCACAACAGTAACCTCACACAGCCCTCTCCTGAATATGTACATAACTATTAGGAAAGCAGAACAAACCTTAGCTTCAAAAGGAGAGGGAGCGACTGCCATGAAAACAGGCTCAGTAGTTTCCCAGCAATATGCGGGATGAAATATTTATAAAGCCCAGAGTATTTTCTAAGTGGGATCAGTTCAGGTCACATCCTGACAGAGCTTATCTACTACCTTTCCCATTGCTCACAACTTCTGAATCAAGTTAAATCACCTCAGCTGATATTAGGGAACTTGGCCTGGAATGAGGAAAACAGAATGCAGACTATCAGGTGACCATAATGGTTGATGATAGGTCTTTCTCACAACATGTACTTTGTGTAACCTAAATACTGGTAGTCCTCGACTTATGACAACCATTGAGCCCAACATTTCTGTTGCTAAACGAGAGATTTGTTAAGTGAGTTTTGCTCCATTTTGCGACATTTCTTGCCACAGTTGTTAAGTGACCCACTGCAGGTGTTAAGTTAGTCACATGGATGTTAAATCAATATGACTTCCCCACTGACTTTCCCGGTGAGAAGGTCACATGGCCCCAGGGAACTAAAGATAAAGGTAAAGGTTCCCCTCGCACATATGTGCTAGTCGTTCCCAACTCTAGGGGGCGGTGCTCATCTCCGTTTCAAAGCCAAAAAGCCAGCGTTGTCCGAAGACACCTCCGTAGTCATGTGGCTGGCATGACTAAACACCGAAGGTGCACGGAACACTGTTACCTTCCCGCCAAAGGTGGTTCCTATTTTTCTACTTGCATTTAATTGTTTTA